ATATCACATCATGATTTATTTTTTATTTTTTTTAAATAGAGACATTCACTTAATTTCAATATTTTCCTTTTCTTTATAGTTCGAGAAGAATAAACTTCTTTTTGAACAGTTTTATGTTTGGACGTTGCTTTAATTCCATATTCAGACTGTTCCATAGTTTCACTCCATGAACAGAAACACAAAAGCCTTTTCTTGTAGTACGTATCTTCCCTGTTACAAAAACCCCTTAAATTATAACTTCCTTCTTTCAAAAAGAACATACTCTGAATATTTCCTGGCAGTTCTTTATTTTTTGCTTTGAATAGAATTTGTGCTGTTTGCAATTTCACTAGATCGTCAATTTTCAATATTTCCGACTGCAAAAATAGTGAGTTTGTATGTGTCATGGTCCTGCCATGTTGGCCCAGCATTCTTAGTTTTCTTGTATTTTGTTCCTTATGCCGTGGTTCCTAGGTTCTGTTAAAGATGTTCCTTATTTGATTACCCCCTGTGTATCTGTGAGCCCTCGTTTCCCCTCGTGTTTCATTTAATGTTTTCCCCAGCCTGTTATGTCTGTGCTCTCTCCTCCTGTCTGAACTTCTGTGTACTTCCTGTTTTACTTTGACAGTCTCCCGTCAGTGTGGTTTACTCCTGCCCTGTCTCGTTATGATTATCTGTGTCAGCTGTGTTCCCCGTGTGCTCCCACTTCCCTCGTTAACCCTCTGTGTATTTATGTGCATGTCTCCCTCAGTTCGGTGTCGCGTCGTCAATGTCTCCTCCCCGAACCTGCGTGGCTTTCTGTGTTCCCTCGGTCTTCTGTTAGTATTCCCGGTTTAGTTCTGTTTCGTGTTAAGGCCTGCAATAAAGCAGTGACTTTGAGTTCAGTTCCTGTCTCCATGAGTTTTGCGTTTGGGTCCTCATCGGCCTCCACACAGCCAGTTCATGACAGTATGTTCCTGTAATCTGCACTGTGGATGATTCGAATATCTTTTTTTTTTTGAAGAGTAAAAAGTGAATGTAATGTGGTTTTATAGTTATTGCCTCAGACCTCTGCACAAAAGCTTAAGTATGGTGAAACCAGTGAACATATGGCGTTATTTTTGTGCCACTATTCTGAGCGCACGTAATAAAAAGTTTGCAGGTGCAAGTGTTGCATTTTGAGGAGAAATTTATTTTGAGCGAAGAAAAGCTGAATTTGAGTGAACAAAATTTATTCCTGCGTGCAAAAAATGTATTTCAGTGTTTGCTATTATCCACACACACAACAGCAGCCCCTCTCGCTCAGTTTTTGCATTTGCGCTCGC